GAGGCCCTCCCCGGAAGGATCAACCATGGTCAAATTTGATCCTCGATCCTCGATCGTCGTCGTCGTCGTCGCTGCCCCCGCTTCTCGGTGCCAGCTCCGCGGGCAGCAGCGGCGGTGGCCTCGGACTCCAGCAGCAGCTTGTTGCCCCGCCGTCCTTTCCACCTCGACGACGTCGACCACGCTGACCGCCAGGACGGCGACGCCGACGACCACGACCGTGACGGCGGCGACGGCGGCGGCGACGGCGACGACGACGCCGACGATGCGACCACGGCGACGACGTTGGCGACTCGTTGGCGAAGGAGACGACGGCTCCGACGACCACGACCACGACGGCGACGTCGTTAGCGACGACGTCAGTCGCTCGGCGGCGACAACGACGGCGGCGTCGACGAACACGACGGCGATCACCACAGCCACGATGGCCACGACCGCGGCCTCGAGGAGCTCGACACCAAGATCGGCGCGCTGGCGACGGAGATCGCCACGGACACCGCGGACCTGAAGGTGCGGACACAGAGGAAGAATTGGAAAGTAGAGATGGAATGTAAGGAGGCGGAGGCGGAGGTAGAGGTAGAGGAGAGAAAGCCAGCAGATGAAGTTGGCAGGCAGGAGAAGGGGGGAATTATGCGACCGCCATGTGGAAGTATACGCACGCGTGCGCGCTGGCATGACGCTTCAATGTACACCTGTTCATCATATATGTCACATCCAAGATTTCCACGGTTCCCAGCTTTCCCTATATTTTCTAATGTTCCGCACTTGGCTTGGGAACTGAAGTGACCCGTCAGCGGTGACCAATTGGGTGTCTGAGTTAACATGGGTTTGATCACATGCCAGTCAACTAGCTCAGCGTCCGACGCGCGTACGCGCGCGCGCGGCCGCGCGTGGTGTGTTCTGCACTGCCCACGTGCCCCTTGGGCCGTCTTAGGGCCCCTTGGCCGTCTGGAGGGCTGTCTTGGGGCCGCCTGGGGCCGTCTAGGGGTTCTCGAAAGCCGTCTCGGATCACTCTGTGGGACCTTCTTGGGCCAGCTTGGGGCGCTTTTGGGGCCGTCCCCTGGGCTCCTCTCGCGCCGTCCTGAGGTCGTCTTGGCGGCCTCTTGGCCCTTCTCCTCCTCCTCTTCCTCCTCCTCCGCCTCCTCCTCCGCCTCCGCCTCCGCCTCCTCCTCCTCCCCCTTGAGCCGTCTTGGGGCTATGTTGAGCCTTCTTGGTCCATCTTGGAGGGGGCCTGGGAGGCAGCTTGGGTTGTCTGCGTTCCGCCGCTGCCATATGCAAAACGACCGCACCCGCTGGCGCGATGCTGCAGGCCCCCCCATCGATGGCCCCCCAGGAATGAGCGGTCAGGCGCCGCTAGATAGTCTGGAAAGTCTGGATGGTACCCTGAGCCAGTCTCATCATGACATCGTCATCGCCCTGGTTCAAGCTCGCTCACGCACCGCGGACCGTGAGGCCGCGACGGAGATCCGCACCAAGGAGCAGGCGGACTTCGCCCAAGAGGATGCGCTGGCCGCCCCCTCCGCGCTCGCGCCCGCCCCGGCGCCACGCCCTCCGCCCTGCTCCTCCTCCTCGGTATCGCTCGGACGTGCGCATTTCTTTCTTGGCGAGGCCAGCGCCAGAAAATCTGGACCATCTTGGGGCATCTTCCGGCCACTCGCAGGGGGCGGTAGTGGGGGAGGGGGAATGCTTCTTAAAGAAGCGCCCCTGCTTCTGAGAAGGCGCGGGCCTTGTCTGTAGATGTAAGGCCTTCGCCTTCTAAGAAGCAGCCTACTGCTAAGAATGCTTCCCCCCTCCCCCCGCCCCGCTCTGCGCGCCGCCAAATCTTGGACCATCACTCGAGAAAAGCAAAACGCCCACCAAATTAGACAATGGACGGGGGATAGGCGTCCGAGCGATGGCAAGTCTCTGCAGATCCCTCCCCAAGCGCGACCATCTTTCTGCCCCCTGTCGGTGGCCCTGGTCGGTACGATCTAGGGCATCGATCAGAGGAGGAAAGTACCCATACCGCTGCCCTTGCCTCGTTTTACCCTGGGCCTGGGAGGCCCTTGTCGCCACCGCCATATTCGCCTGGAAATTCCGGATCAGAACGCACCCTGGGAGAAGTCCGGGGAGCAGCGGTAGCGGTACCTTTTGGGCCCCCCAGTCGTGCCCAACAATTGCCGGTGGGCAGCGTGCTTACTCCTTTCGGGCGTGCCAGCTAGACAGCCCACTCTTCCCTCTCGCCCCTTGCCTGGGCCTGCCTCGCGCTTCCCGCAGGGGGGGAGAGAAGAGGGCATGCCGTCATGCCGTGGAGGCGACTCGCCCAAAGCGCAGGCTCCGCCCGCTTCTCGGGCAACGAGAGCTGTGCGCATGCACGGGCGCCAGTCCTGGCTGTGCCCGTCTCGTCTTGCCCCCCCCCCCCAGCGTCCCCAGGACTGGGGCGAGTGGAGGGTTTGGAGTCCCGACACGGTGCGGTGACAGACCGTGCGGTGACCTCGAAATCACCCCAGACCTCACCCTACGGTCCGTCAACGCACGGTTTTGGGACCCCGCAGGCCCCAGTCGCCCGAGGCGTCCTCGGAGAACGACCCGAGTCCCAAGACCGTGCGGAGACCCCGAATCCCCACCGACTCACCGCACGGTGTGGTCACCACCCCGTGTGGGGGTCCCCGAGAGGGGAGGCCGCCGCGCGCCGCTCCCGGCGGGGTTCCCTCGCCTTCTGCCCCGCGCAGAGTTCCTGGGGCACTGGCGAGCCGAGCCGGGAGGTGCCGCGGCCGAAGCGGAGGGCACAGCTCGTCCCCGGCGCGGGCCCATTGAGGGCGGCTCCGAAGCGTCTTTGGCCCAGCGGAGCACGAGCAGCTCCAGTGGTAGGAAGTATGGCACTTCCCAGCTGAATCATTATGGCAAGCGTCAATTGAGGAGACTGCAGCAAGGTCTGCCACCTGGCTCCTCTAAGCTTGCCCAGATGCAAAGGGCCCAGAAGAAGGTCTTGCGTTAACTGTTCAACTCTGCCTGAGGCTGGAAGGGGACCAAACAAAAAAGCAGCTCCAGTGGGAGTGTTCCTGGAAGTTCCAGCGGGAGTGCTCTCCCTACGACGGAAGGTTCTTGTTCTCTCCGCTTTCGGCGATGGGCCTCAGGGCCGTCACCAAAACACGACCCAGGATGAAACGCCAGGTTCCTGTGGAGAAGCTCTAGGCGTCAGGGGTCAACGCTGTGAGAAGCAAAGACGGCGCCGGAGGTCTGGGTGTATACACGGCTCTTTGAAAAGCGCCCTTCGATCTCGCGCCCCCAGACTGGCAGCTCGAACAAGCATCGTGCAGCAGGGCCTTTTTATTGCTACTCTCAGCGTCCAGGGTCCGTTTCCAGGCCCCAGGGCCGCCGACAGTCGCGATGAAGAGAGCTCCAGGGCTGGCGACCCGAAAGCATCTGGTCGTCGGATGTCTGGGACACCCGCAGGAGAAAGAGCTCGTGGACGTGATCGACACGATCACGCGCGCCAAGGGTATCCTCGAGAAGGACTTTGGCGCCACAACCACGTAGAAGTCATGGGCGGCCTAACCGACCCCTAGCAACCCATCCTCTTCCGTGACGTCCCCCTCGCCTCGCCCAAAGACGTAGGTATGCGGCCGGAGGCATGCTTGAAAGGCGAGGGTGACGTCACGTAAGGGGATGGTTCCCCAAACAGTGCTTGCACTTAGGGGTTCTTGCTTGGCTTAACCATCTCGTGGTGAATGGCGGCGTTTGCGGGCGGTACCGCCCGACGCCGCCGTCGCCGTCGCCGTCGCCGCCGCTCGGGGCGAGTAGCGGCTTGTGAGGGCGGTGCCGCCCGACGCCGCCGTCGCCATCGCCGTCGCCGTCGCCGCCGCTCGAGGCGAGTAGCGGCTTTTGCGGGCGGTGCCGCCCGTCGCCGCCGTCGCCGTCGCATAGATTCACCACATCGGTTCTCCTTTCTAAAAAGAGAATAGACTCTCCCCCCCCCGAATGAACGGGACACCTTTTCGTATTGCAATTTACATATGATTCTGCCCCATCGCCCATCGTAAACATGAGTTCATATTATCCCAGTCAAACCGGTATCACTCGCCCTGCTATCCTCTGCAACAAATTATATGCGCGCACTCGCGTGTATCAAAAATCATGAGTTTCCAAGAATCTCTTGCAACAGAAACGAGACGAAGTGCGCACGCGCGCATCGTCGCGCCCGCGCATGCCGAAATCCTATAAAAACCTTTGGTTCAATCGAGTGTCCAAAAACATACAAAACCACAGGGTTTCGCAACACGGATTTGCTAACAAACTTACGCGCGCGCGCTCTTGCGAAACCTTATGGAAAAACCATAGGTTTTTCAATACGTTCAAGAACTACTACCAAACGCCTTCGCACGCGCGCATGTCGAAATCTTTCGGACGCCCTTGCGCGCGTGCCGTCGCGAGAATCCTCTGCAGAAAATGGGACGAAGTGCGCACGCGAGCGTCGTCGCGCGCGCATGCCGAAATCCTTCAAAACCTTTGGTTTCGGAAGGATTTCGAAATCGAGTGCCCAGAAAACATAGACAACCCAGGGTTTCGCAACACGGATTTTCAACAAAAGCGTGCGCGCGCGCTCTTGCGTCGTCGTCGTCGTCGCCGTCCTCCCTCTTCCCCCGGTGTCGTCATAGTCGTTGTCGGCGGCGTCGTCGTCGTCGTTGTCGCTGTCGTCGTCGGCGTGGGTGTCGTTGCCAAGTGCCATTTGGTACCCACCGTCATGGTCTTAAGAGATGTTGCAAACCAAGTTGCGGGTGGGTGGGTGGGATGTTTGCGCGAGCAGTGCGGTGGATAATTCATCGCGAACAGAAATTAATTGCACCACATATATTGCACCACGTATATTGCGTTCCATTGGTTGCGCACCACGTAGATTGCACCGCATATATTGCATTAAACAGGCTGCCGCGCGTAAATTGCACATATATTACACTGCATATAGTACATTACGTAGGTTGCACCGCGTACATGGTACCAGATAGAGTGCACCGCATAGATCGCACCGCATACATTGCAGTACGTGGTTGCATCGCGTACGTTGCACCACATAGAGTGCACCGCATAGACAGCAAGAACCTACTGCTTGGGGTCCACGCTGGCCAACATTTAATCGCCCGAAGAATCCCCCGTCCTGCACTGCCGGTTTTTCTACTTCTCTGCGGCGCCCCTGACATTGCTCGTCAGTCTATTATACGTCATACGTTTTGTTTTTCCAGCACCAGGATTTCTCGTTCGCCTATGTCTCCCCAGGCCCATGTTGGGCCCCCTGGGCCATCAGTCAGCCTGGGTGTCCCACCCTGCCTGGGAGCGTGTGGCTTCGCTGTCGGGGGGCCTGCCGCTGATCTGTCGGGGATGTATTGGCCGATTCGAAGTCATTGTCTGCCCCCCTCAGCCAGTCCATCCCTGTCGACGTCCCCTCGGAGGTGGAGGAGGAGGAGGAGGAGGAGGAGGAGGAGGAGGAGGAGCAAGAGAATGATGAGGAGGAGGAGGAGGAGGAGGAGGAGCAGGAGGAGGAGCAGGAGGAGGGGAAGGATGAGGAGGGGGAGGAGGAACGAGGGGGAACGATGAAGAACGAGGAGCGAGGAGAAGGAGGAGCCAGTCCCCCCTGTCGTCCCCCCTCTCTGTCTGGGCTCCCCCGCTGCTCCTCCCGTCTCCCCGGCGACCCCGCTCCTCCACACTGCAGGCCCCCACTGGGGGCGCCATTGTGGTTACTAAGCGTTTGGTCCGCTTAGATTTGGTTACTAAGCAGTTAGCTTGGTTCCGAAAACGATGTTAACACCTCAAGGTTAGAAGGTTAACACCTCTGGGTTGGCCCCCAGAGCCCCCCTTCCCCCCCGGCCTCCCCGCCCCCCCCGCAAAAGCCGCCAACAAATGGTAGAACGCCTGGGAGTCTGATCTCGACACCTTCTCCCCCCCTCGTCCCTCCTTCGCTGCTGGACTGCGTGTGTGCTGCTTCTCCAGTCCTAGGGCCCCCCACAGGCCCCAAGAGCCCCTCGCCCCCCAAACAGAGCCCCAAAGGATCCCAAAGGGTGCCGGAGAGCGCCTTGAGCAGACGGGTCCCCCCTGCTTCCGCTGCCCCCCCCCCCCGAGCCAAGGCGGGGACGTGCCCGACCTGAGCCAAGGGCCCAATCCCCCCCCCCCCCCCCGCGAAGAGCAGGAGATGGCCAAGAGCGGCGGCGCCTCGATGCTGCAGCTGCGGAACGCGGGCGGCGTGGCCGACGCGCTCAGGGTCATGGTCCAGGCCTTCCCTGCCCCCCCGCTCCCCCCCCCCCTCCCCCCCTCCCTTCACCCCCCCCCCCCTTCCCCCTCCACCCCCTTCCACCCCTCCCCCCCCCCCCCCCCCCCCCTCCACCCCCCCTCCACCCCTCCACCCCCCCCCCGCTCGGACGCGTGAATTTCTCTCTCGCGGCGAGGACCATCGAGGAGCATCCTGGCTTATCCCATTCTGCGAGAAAAGAAGCGCACGGAGCCGACACATGCACGGGGAATGGGCGTCCGAGCGATGGAAACCCCCCCCCCCAAGTTCGGGCTCGTGCTCAGGCTCAGGCCGGGGCTCCGCCGCGGGCTCAGGCTTCGGGCGCGGGCGCTTGGGGCTGATGCTCGGATTTCGGCTCGGGCTCCAGGTGGCGCTCCGGCTTGGAGCTCGAACTCGGACTGGGGCCCCCCTCCCTCGGGGGTGAGCAGCGGCGCGACGATGGTCAGGGGAGCACGGGAGGTCGTGGCAGCAGTGGTGCGTTCCCAGAGTTCGGCTGGTCTTGCTGCTCCGGGCGGGCTCCAGAGACGAGAGCCGCTGGACACCCAGGACTTTCTTCGGGGGCGACAGAGAGGGGGGTGATGACTAGGGGGGGTGGATATCATGGCGGGGGCCATGATATCTCCCCAGATTTCATGGCGCCTCTTCTTATTTCAATACGTCCCCGCCCCCCCCCCCTGGGCCGCGCACATGCCGCTGGCCCCCCCCCTCTTGGACGCCCCCTCTTGGCCGCCCCCGATTTCTAGGATGTATCCTGCGGTCGGTCTTTCGGTTCGGCCAGTGTTCTGTTGGACCGTTGCCGTGGACGGCCTTGACCTCGGGCGTGCAAACTTAGTGTCAGCGGCGACGTCAAGATCCGAGGCCGGGGCTGGACCTAAACGCTGTTTTGCTGGACTTCGGCTGTGTCTTTTTTGTTTTTGTTTTTTGGCAGGGAGGTACAGGAAAACAGGTAGAGCAAAACGAATCACAAAACGAAACCAAAACGAAAAACAACGTTTAGGTCCAGCCCTGTACGAGGCGTTGTGTAGCAACGTCCAGGGCGCGGCATGGCCGACGGTTCCTCTGCACCGGCGGAAGCGGAAGCGAGCGGCCGCGGAGGAAGGCAGCAGCGGGAGTCGCGCTCGGCGCACGTAGCCTTCCACGCGCGGTGCTCGTGCGTGCCGATGTGCGCACCTCCACAGGCTTCGGTCATCTCCTCCACCGACGCCAGCAAGCTGACGGCCCTCGTGCAGAGCGCGCAGCAGCAGGAACGCCCTCGCCCGTCGGGGGCCGTGCCGAGCTGCGCGCCCGTCCGTGCGGCGGGCGTCTCCGCAGGCGGGGCATGGGCTCCCGCCTCGGATCCGTCGGCGAGGATGAGCATCGTCAGGACTCTGAGGGCCCACTTCGATCCGACCGATCCGATTCGGTGTCGAGTCCGGCCAGCTCGATCCGATTCGATTCGGATTTTTCGACGATCCGGCGTGGCCCGGTGCTTGCATGGCGTCGGTGTGCATCCTGGACCCGACGCACATTCCGATCCGATGCGATCTTTCGGATCCGATGCTGACTGCTCCTGGCGCATCCCCGTCCCAGCCAGGAAGGCTCGGGGGCGGACAGAACCCCCAACAGTGACACGTCGATTAGTGAATTGTCCGCTTTCGGTTCTCGAGAGGGCGCCGTGGCCGCTCTTTTCCAGGCTTGCGCCCGCCAGGTGTGGGCCTCGGGGCCCAGTCCCAGCCAGGAAGGCCTGGGCTCCGCCGCCTGCTCTGCCCCCTCGGTGTGCGAGATGCGCCCTGCCCGTCTGGGAGTCTGCGGCCTCTCCGTGCCCCCACCCCGGAGAGCTGCGGCAGGCTCGTGTCGTGCAGACTTTGGCGCTGGTTTCTGATACGGCGTACAGCGCCGGTTTTAATACATGCTCCGCGTGCGGAGCATGCATTAAAAATGCAGGGATGTAGTATTAAAAATGAGTTCATGCATCAATTTATTCATACATTAATCATGTATTAAACATCCCATATTTTCAAACATCCCATGTATTGAAAAATGCCCTGTAGATCGTTCAACCTTGAAGGATCGGCCGCTTCCGACACATCAGATCTGTCATTATTGACCCGTTCTGGGTCGCCCGCGGCGTTCCACATGGAACGCTGGCGGCGGGGTCGCCGCTGGTCGACACGGCGCGAACCTACCGTCTGGTGGCGCTAGGAAGTCCTGTCGGCCCTGGACAGAACCCCCACCCTGACACGTCGATTAGTGAATTGTCCGTTTTCGGTTCTCGAGAGGGCGCCGCCGCCGTCATTTTCCAGGCTTTTGCCCGCCAGGTGTGGGCCCGAGGTCGTTTTCACTAAACCACGTTTTGCTAAAGGGAGTTCTGTCCATCCCCGCTGACACGAAAACCTCTACCGTCCAAGTACCGTCCAAGTACCGTCCAACTTGGATGCGGATTTGGATGCATCCAATTGCCCATCCAACACTGCCAACCGCATACACACACATATATATATATATATATATATATATATATAACACCAGTGTGGATGCATCCAAACCGTCGCGCTTTTGGATGGCACTACCATTCAAATGCCGTCCAAATACCGTCCAAGTACCGTCCAAGTACCGTCCAAGTACCGTCCAAGTGCCGTCCAAGCGCCGTCAAAGTGCCGCCTGCGTGCAGCCCGCCCTCCTGGGACACATTAGCAGTTGATTGTAGCACCGGCGCGCGTTGCATCTAGGGCTGTTCGGTACGATGTAGATAATATAGGGCATGGTTGGGATGTGGGAGGATAATGAGAACGGCACTTAGAGAGATGGTCGCTGTCGCACCTGTGAGACCACCCGCGCTGGCGCATGACGCACGGCTCGGGGTATTTTTTTGCCCGTGTGCGAGTGTCCACGCGTGGGCGCGCGCTGGAAGCTGATCGCTCTCGCGTCGGATGCCCGCGGAACGAGAGCATTCGAGCTGAATGCATGGGGTCACCTGGGGGTTGGGCCCTGCCGTTGGAACGGATGGAGGGCGGTTGGGTGATGATGAGGATGATGAGGCGAATGGTGATGAGGACGCGAAGGGGGGGTGGGGCCAAGAAGGGGGAGATATGGACGGGGAAGCGATGTCGGACCCCCCCCTGATTAATGCGACTCCCATGGAGCACGCGTGCGTCGGCGCATGCGTGTACTCGTGCGTATCGTCCACAATATGGTGATACGCGCGACGCACGCCTTCGGGCGCACACGCACTCACACATACGCGCGCGCACCCACATGCGCATCACGCCGACGACGGCACGGCATCACACGCGATGTATGATAATCCACGAGGGGGGATCGAGGTTGGCGGCGCTCGCATGTCCACGGGCAGTCCGACCTCGCGGGGGCGTTGCGCGGACCGATGTCCACAGTTTAACGTGGGCGAGCCCAGTTAGTGTTTTCCAGCGGAAAAGCGAGGGAAGGGCAGTGAAAACTCTCATAGCATGGCGGCGCAGTTTGACACAAACAATTTGCAGCACCGAAACCCCTTTCCAAGCATGCCCCGCAAGAAGCTAGCACCGCGTCGGACACTCTCGGCGGGCAACAATGGTGCGCGCGAGCGAGCTGCTGGTGCTGCTCTGTTCGATCATGTGGTTGGGATGTATGTATATGGCAAGCAAGTATCAGGAAAGGGCCTCGCAACAGCATGTTATCATTGCAGCGCCGGTGGGTTGGGTGGAGCGCACTGGAAGTTGCGGGGGCTGCCACCAGGCAAGCAAAACGGCAACTACAAGGGCCCTATCGATCGATTGGTACCGAGTGGTGGTCAGTTGATGAGTGTGGAGCTCCCCATGTCGGTTTGTGGCCGACCCCACTTAACTCGAGCCCCAACCTACGTGCAGCTCGTTTTCGATTCGATAACGGAAGAAGTCCGAGGTGATGAAACATGTCGAAGGCGGTTGAAACATGGACCTGCTGACCTCAATTCTGTCATGATGACGCGTGCGTACCAAAGCCATCCACATGTTCAGGGGTGTCTTGACCAAACAGGAGATTGGCCCCTTCCCATAGCATTGTACGCTGACGCAGTGCGGTATTCGCCACTCCATGCAGGGCGCACAGACAGCGTTCTTAGCATCAGCGTAGTCAATATTCTGACACATCGCTATCACTATGTTGGCTTCCTGTGCACGCTGGACAAGTGCACGCGCGGGTGCTCTGGTCATTGTACGTTGTGTGCTATGATGGATGTTGTGATGTGGCAGGTCCGAGCATTGTCTAGGGGGGGTTTTCCTGATGCGCAGTGCAACGGTGCCCCGTGGGTCAAAGCTGGGCAGGCAGGCGTGGACCTCGGATGTAGAGCAGTGGTGACGTATATAACGGGTGGCTGGGCATAGTTTCAGAAAACGTTCGGTCTCACGCCGTGGAGCAGTGTGTGTCCGTGTCGTTCCTCGCCGTTGGATTCTCTCAACGTGGCGCACCCAGGGTTCTTGAATGCCGATGGCCTCCCGTTCCCGAGCTACGCGTCCGACGATTAACGCGAGAGTTGCGATCGTTGCGAGCGTATCATGCGCATCGATTCGGAGGTCACACGGGTTCAGAGATTGAGCGTGTTGAATTGCATGGATCCTAAGGCAAAGAAACAAGGGGGTCTTGTGGTCGCGCGAAAGGTGTTTGGAATCCCGTTGGAAAGAAATTACGCGTTACTGCCGTCTCCCAGTTTTTTAGATATAAGAAAGGTTTGGGACACACCCGTGTCTTTTGATTGTGTGTTCTGGCGCGTTCGTCGCGACTGTTGAGGCGCCTCGCTTGGCCCCTTAACTCATCGCAGCCCAGTGTTCTCGCAGGCGTTGGCGACCTAGCCCATCTGATGCATCGGCATTTTGGGTGTGCTCCACACTGTGTTTCTTGGCGTTGCGCAGAGGCTCGGGCCAGTTGTCTTTGGGATGCTGCTGGAAGCGAACGTTGCCCGGAAACGAGCCCTTCATCAACGAGCGAAGAGCTTGGAGTCGATTTTGCACTCGTGGTGCGAGGCTGGGTAGGCTCGCTCTAGGCATGATCGGCGGCGGTGTCGAGGTGCGACGTCTTAGAGGGTTGCCGCGCGCAGGAATTCCCATGACAATCGAAGGTGCCGAAGTGGCTAGACTGCCTCTGTTTTGGAAATCGTTTTTGGACCTGTATTTTGTTCCCGCGCGGTTTGCGGGGCCCCTCCTGAGCCCGATCGACGCGATGCTGCAGTGGATCGACGCGTGCAAAGATTTGAACGCTCGGCCACGCACATCATAATATATGACCGCGCTGGGCGCCGCATCGCGCGTCGTGGTGTATTCGCAGGGCGCGAAGCTGAGGCTCGCACCCAAGCGACACCCTTTTTTTGCCATCTCACACACAGGGCCCGCCCCCCCCCCCTCCGCGCGCGCGGATTCCCGCGACCTCGCCCCGCCCACCTTCTCGCCCATATATTGACGATGGGGGGCGATGCAAGGGGCGCCGATCGCTCGTGGTTGATGGGCCCGCGTGGCGTGGGGAACCAACGCCAACATGGCGCGCGCCCATGTTCGATTTTTGCGGGTGCGCCACCATCCCCGCGCCGCATCTAACACCGATCGCCGCCCCCCCCACCCCCCGTCCTGGAGAGTGAGGTGGTCGTCCGTCCTCCGTCGATTCATCGATCGGCTGGGCGCGCGTGCCCATGCCCCGAGACTGCTCTCTCGAAATCCCGTGCCAGTTCGTTTCGCGGCGTTTGCCTTTCGGGGGCCGCGCCGAGTCATCGCGTCGAGGCGCATGCATGCACATTTGATCGATCGAATGGCGGAGGTGCCTGTTCTGCGAGGATATGGATCTTTGGCCCTCCTCGCTTGTGCTCTACCTACACTGACGAGTCCCTCAACTCGACTGTGCGCAATAAGGCCCAGCGATGCCGCCGATGTACGCCCAGTCGAACCCTTCGCCACCACGTCCGTTTGATCGGCGCCATCGGTCTTTCAAGATACGTATACGCTACGCCAATCCAAAAGCATGGCCGCTGCGCTGGGTGTGGGCAACGGCGCTCCACATGGGGACCATCGCTAGAGCGTCAGAGATCGAGCCAGACCAGGTGTGCCGCAGCCTCACTAATGACTGTTCTGCTCGCTTGCTTGAACAGGTTGCGACGGAAGTCAACGCGTGGCTGAGGGGGCGCGGACCTGTTGTAATTCATAGTTGTTTAGATTGTTTTGAAGTATTATGCGGTGATGGTGGTATTACCACGCAGCTGATCGCCAGAGGATGCAACGCCCGCGGCTTCGACAGACTACACGGCGAC